ACCTGGGCAATTTGGCAAGACTTCATCTTTCCAATAAATCAAAAAATTAGCCAGGTGTGGTAGTGCGCGCCTGTAGTTCCAGCTACTTGGAAGGCTGAGTGGAGGGATCGCCAGAGCCCAGCAGGTCGAGGCTGCGGTGGCCGGGAGTGTGCCACTGCACTTCAATCTGGGCGACAGAGTGAGACTCCAACTCAAAAAAAAAAAAAAAAAAATCAACACACATAAGTCAGCAGCACTACTACACACCAATAATGACTAAACTGAGAAACAAATCAAGAATTCAATCTCATTTACAATAGCTGCAAAAAAACAAAAAACAAAAACAAAAAAAACCGCAAGAATATATTTAACCAAGGAGGTGCAAGATCTCTGCAAGAACTATAAAACACAAATGAAAAATAATAAATGACACAAACAAGTGAAAAAAATCTCATGTTCATGAAATGGAAAAATCAATATTTTAAAATGACCATACTATGCAAAACAATATACAGATTCAACACAATCCCAATCAAATTAGCAATGTCATTTTTCACAGAATTAGAAAAACCAATACTAAAATTCATATGCAACCAAAAAAGAGCCCAAATAGCCAAAGGAATCCTAAGCAAAAAGAACAAAGCTGGAGACATCACATCACCTGACTTCAAATTACACTACAAGGCTATAGTAATAGTATAGTACTGGTGCAATAGTAGACACACAGACCAATGGAACAGAAAACAGAACTCAGAAGTAAAGCCAACTACCTATAACTAGCTGATCTCTAACAAAGCAGACAAAAATATACACAGGAAAAGGACATCCTATTCAATAAATGGTGCTGGGAAAACTAGGTAGTCACATGCAGAAGAATGAAATTTGATCCTTATCTCTTATCATATACAAAAATTAGCTCAAAATGGATTAAAGACTTAAACGTTAAGACATGAAACCATAAAAATTCTATTAGAAAATCTAGAAAAAATTCTTCTGGATATTGGCCTAGGCAAAGAAGTTATGTCTAAGATCCCAGAAGCAAATGCAGCAAAGTTAATTTACCTAAAAAGCTTCTGTACAGCAAAAGAAATGATCAACAGAGTAAACCTACAGAATGGGAGAAAATATTTGCAAACTATACAACTGACAAAGGACTAATATACAGAATCCACAAGGAACTCAAATCAGCAAACAAAACAAAACAAAAACAAAAAAACACAAAAAGTGGGCAAATGATATTTCTCAAAGATGTACAAATGGCTAACAAATACATGAAAAAAATGCCTAACATCACTAATCACCAGGGAAATGCAAATTAAAACCACAGTGAGATACCCCCTTATCTTAATTAGAATGGCATTATCAAAAAGTAAAGAAACAGTCGGGTTCGGTGACTCAGCCTATAATCCCGTGTCTTGGGAGGCTGAGGTGAGAGGATTGCCTGAGCCCACGGGTTCGAGACCCACCTGGGCAACTTGGCGAGACCTCATCTCTACAGTAAATCAAAAAATTAGCCGGGCGTGGTAGTGCATGCCTGTAGTTCCAGCTACTTGGAAGGCTGAGGCGGAAGGATCGCCGGAGCCCAGCAGGTCGAGGCTGCGGTGGCCGGGAGCAGCCACTGCACTCCAGTCTGGGTGACAGAGTGAGACTCCAACTCAAAAAAAAAAAAAAAGTAAAAAACAATAGGTCCTGGCATGGATGCAGTGAATAGGGAACACTTATACACAAATGGTAGAAATGTGCATCAGTACAACCTCTATGGAAAACAGTAGAGCAATTTCTCAAAGAACTAAAAATAGATCTACTATTTGATATAGCAATCTCACTACTGGGTATCTACTCAAAGGAAAATAAATCATTATACAAAGACACTGTACTTGCATGTTTGCTGCAGCACAATTCACAATTGCAAAAATATGGAATCAACCTAAGTGCCCATCAACTGATGAGTGGATAAAGAAAATAAAGTATGTAAGTGGGTGTCTGTAGACACACACACACACACACACACACACACACAAATGGAATGATTCAGCCATAAAAAAGAATGAAATAATGTCTTCAGAAGCAACTTGGATGGAATTGTAGGCCACTACCCTAAGTGTTAAGCAACTCAGGAATGAAAAATTGCATCTTCTCACTTATAAGTGGGAGCTAAATTATAGGTCCACAAAGGCACACAAAATGGTATAATGAACACTGGAGACTAGGGTGATGGATGATAAATAAAAAATTAACCTATCAGGTACAATGTGCATTATTTGGGTGACAGTTACACTAAAAGCCCAGGTCAATGCTCTACAAGTCACCCATGTAACTAAAAACCGCCAGACCTACTGAAACGGTTTTAAACAATTAAAAATTGTGAGAGAGTTTGTCACTAGCTGGATATGCCCTAAAATAATGGCCAAAGAGAGTTCTCTGCACAGAAAGAATAAAAAGGCATCTTGGCACATCAAGAAGAAATAATGTAATTGCCAAAACAAAAGAAAACCACCCTAAGAAATACCTTTACATTAACATAATTTAAAATGTGAAAACATTTCTAATGGGAAAACACATGCTAAAACAGCTCAAAGAGTTAAAAGTAGATGGATGCCTCAGTGCAGCAGTAGAGAGGTTTAAAGCTGGAGACTGGCACTGTTTACTACAACTCCAAGATTCTTTGAATTTTTAATGTTAAAAACCTAATAGCCAGGCGAGGTGGCTCACATCTGTAATCCCAGCACTTTGGGAGGCTGAAGTAGGATGATCACTTGAACCTAGCTGTTCGAGGTTGCAGTGAGCTATGATGGCACCATTGTATTCTAGCCTGGGAAACAGAGCAAGACCCTATCTCTATAAAAACAACATAAAAATCCTGAAATTACTAAGCCTGAGATGTCCCCCTTCATTGTTCTACTTTCTCCTCTTCAAAATATAAAATGTATTAGTAATTTAGCATAAGAATAATCCCCTAATTTTAAAAAAGCAGTGAACATAAAAGGAGTAGTAAACATGCACTAAGCCCTAGAAATGGAGCTTCTCAAATTAATCATCCACACTTTTACGTTTTTTTCTTAGGCAAATGCTTTGCATAAAGCATTTACATAATTAAAGAAATAGAAATGTTAGACTAGGACTAAACAGTCATACAGTGTTAACAAGCACTTTTTTTGTGTGTGTGCCAGGGTCTCACTCTGTCACCCAGGCTGGAGAGCAGTAGCACGATCACTCCTGGGCTCAGGCAACCCTTTTGTCTCAGTCTCCTGAGTAGATAGGACTATAGGCGTGCACCACCACACCCAGCTAATTTTTTTGGAGAGACGAGGTCTTGTTATGGTGTCCAGACTAGTCTTGAACTCCTAGGTTCAAGCAATCCTTCTGCCTTGGCCCTTCAAAGGGCCAAGATTACAGGCATGAGCCATCACACCTGGCCATGGTTTGATTATTATTTATTTATTTAGAGTTGGACTCTCACTCTGTTGCCCAGGCTGGAGTGCAGTGGCATGCTCACGGTCATCACAATCTTGGCTTGCTGGGCTCAGGTGATCCTTCCACCTCAGCCTTCCATGTAGCTGGAACTACAGGCACGCACCACCATGCCCAGCTAGTTTTTAAAAATTTATTGTAGAGATGAGGTCTCTACCCATGGGCTCATACAATCCTCTAACCTCAACCGCCCAAAGTCCCAAAGTACTAGGATTATAGGCGTGAGCTACTGTACCTGGCCAACCCAGCCACATTTTAAAAGGTAATTGCCTACATCTCTTACTCATGCTAAAAAAAATGCATATTTTATGCTTTTTGATAGTAAACTATTATTATTCCAGTTGCTACCCACATTAGTGTATCCAACATTACAGATTAAATTCATATAATAAAATGATGGCTTTGAGTATTGCACTCTTAAAGGTTTTTTGGTGCATTTAACACAAAAATTCAAATTAGAATTTTATTACTCCAGCTAGACATGAGTTAGAATCTCAAGTCAAGTTATTAGAGGTGTTTAAACACATCAGAATTGTTTCACTGGGTCTAATTTAGGAACATTTGTAAGAAATGTTTTCTGAAACTGACTTGGAAGAGGAAAAGTTCATGCTTACCATTCAACAGACGTCTAGAAACCTTCCTACTTTAGAGTTTTACAATACATTCAAAATGGTGCTATGACACCATCAAAAGGTTTAAAACATTTAAAAAATGTTTTTTTAATGATAAGAAAAATTTATCCTTCAAAATACTAGAATGCTGTTCGAAAATCTATTAGAAATTTGAACACTTATTCTTTTGTGCTCTTCTGATCAAAAGAAATGAATGCAAGTTTAGGAAAGGGAAAAATGAACATTCAAAAAAAAGTTTATTTCTAGCCCTGAAAGAACAAAATTACTGAACAAAGTCATCAAATACAGCAGTTAATGTCAATTTAACAATTAAATAATTGAATGGGATTAAATTAAAAAGAAAAAGCATTATAAAATTTGAAGACAATAGAAAAGACAAGCTACTTTCACTTAATTCCATTTCTATCAAAACAAGAAAAAAGGCCAGCACATTTCAATCATTCCAAATGTAATTCGTTGTTTTTAAAGAATAAAGATTTGCTTCACAGAATTATCATACATTTCTTTCCGCCTCTTGTCTAGGCAGCAATCTAGAATGGTGAACTTTTGAAAAAGACTTCTGTTCTTTCAAGGCCAGGCCAGTGCTCGACTCTTCTTTGTAACTCCAACATCACCTACCACAGCATCTTTGCCACAGCGTTCAATAAATGTGTTGAGTGAGGAAAACAAAAGAATGAATGTGCGTGCGTGTGTGTGTGTGTGTATACACATACATATATTCTTTCCTAATACACACACTATGAAAAAATGAATTTTAACTGTTTAAACATCTACAGGAGCAGTGGAGATGAGGAAGACAATCTGCTTTTTATATTACTATTAAAAAGACCCCAAATGAGTATTAACCTAGATTTTAGCTAATTTATAATGGTATTTTGACATTTCACTAGACATGAATTTCAGCATATTTTAAAAAAATTTTAGATTCAAAAATTGATGTAAATTATTCCTCTACTTACAGCTACTACTTGATCAGACCTAAAATTATTCTGGCTAGAATACAATATATACAAAAAACATGTATTTAAGTGAGCCCTACAAAGAAATACTCATAGGTAGTTTTAAATTGCTTGTTAAAGGCACAGGCTCGTTTAGAATTCGTGGTTAATCAGTAAATTCTAAGCAGCTTAATATTTATATGTTAAAGGAAAAATGATTCATACTACATGCCAGGCACGCAACACATGAAGACAGAGTTGTGTTGGCTTTGTGTCTTACGCTACACAATCACTCTGTTTACTATTTTAGGCAGGATAAAATGTTCAATGTTTTTATGGTTTCCCAGTTCTAACTGTTCCTAAAAGCAAAAGAAAAAAAAAAAAAAGAAGATAACTTTAAGACCACCAGCAAGTCTAAAGAGAATAAATAATTACTACAGTAATTGTCCTAATAACACAAGAGGACTACTAAGGTAACTTGTAGATTTAAATGGGAATTTTCATTTTAAAATGATGACAAAAAGGGTGAATACAAAAGGCAATTATTTAAAAAACATGAACTTTGATTCAGAGATAATTGTTCTTTCAACAAGATCTGAATATTTTAATTTAAAATTAACTAATAAATCACAAGTCTGTATTGCTTTTAAGATTTCATTTAAAAATGACACATTTCAAAATTAACCAAAGTATATTTCTATTAGAGGTTAGTTTATCCAGGTAAGTAAAGAATAAACCACAGTGTAGCTCCCTTAACCTAGGAGTCAGGTTTTAACAACAAAGTCCGTTGCCAGCAATGGACGTACAGGTAACCATCAAAGAAGTTGTAAATATAAATCCCAAACTGCTTCTATCAACTGAAAAGCCCTTTGTTGAGTCACAAGCATAAAATGGGGCATTGGCACATATTCAGTGAATGTGGTCTTTATGACTTAGGATGGAAGTGCCTTCTTGAGTAGTCATGATAAGTCTTATCTAGTTGGTTTTCTATTTCATCGGTAGTATCTTCTTTATCATAATCCATCCAGACAACTGTTTACAAAGAATGTTCAGATCTGGAAGAGGCACTGTAGCTTTTCACCAGAAATAAACCAGTTTCTGTAATTTAGGAATGAATGTACAAGGCCAATGTAGTCCAGAGAAAAATGAAATCAAGAATTACACTGAAAACACAGACCATTAAGTGCTCTAGATATGTTTCATTATTTCACTTATTTTTCTGAAAATCTTTCTGCCTTATCAGTAAAAAAACAGCCATTTCTCTCCTTATAATTGTATCTGAACACAGATATGATGGGACTAACAGGACACAAAATCCTGCTAGTTTCCCCATGTACTCCAAAACAATAAAATTATTTTTATTCATGATTTTACTACTGCAAAATGGCAAACAGGTATGAAGTTAACTGGGAGGGGATGGTGGGAACAAAATGCCAGAACCAAACTGCAGATATTTGTTTTATGAGGTTCCAGCTATGTCAGAAGGAATAATACCTACTTTAATAGCAAAACAACAAAATAGAAGTATGAGAGGAAAAAAGAGAAGGGAAGGGGAGAAGAGCAGGTACTCAAATAATTAATGCTACAGGTCACGGACCTTTTAAAAAAATCTTTAAAATAAAAAAGTATTGCTATCAACAAGCACATTTCATTTTTCTTTCTCCAGTTTTTTACATGAATATTCTCAATTTATTTGAAGGGGAAAAAAACCCATTATAGTATCTCAGTGTTTCAAATGATCTACAAACTCATCAAGAAGTACTGTTATTGAAGTTCTCATAGACAATAAAATATTGGTGGTTTGGGACAATTTAACTTATGACAAGTCTCTACAGTTTATTGGTCATAAGCTACTTTTCTGTAATACTGACATCTCCCTTTCATGAACATAATCTCATCTAATTATTTCAAGCTCACCAAGGTTCAAGACTCTGTCTCTGCTAGCCCCAAATATTTTTATCCTTTAAATGGAAAAAAAAAAAAAAAAGGTTAACTTTTAAATTCTGGAAATTCAATGGTTATTATATTATTTGCCATGGGTTGTGGGGGGGTTGTGGGGTGAGAGAGAGGGTTCATTAAAAATAAAAACAAAAAACCAAACCTAAACCTAAAATTGCAACATATACAGAAATTTATTTTCAAAATGAAGAAGGAAAAAGGAGGGAAGGGGAAGGTAGTGGCACTAACCAAAGTCAAAAAGCCCAAGTTTGAACAAGAACAAATCACTTTGGTTTCTGGAGCCAAATATGAAGAGGAAACAGGCAGAAAGGAAGACCCAATTGTAAGAATGTAGTCAATGGGATGCTTTTTCTAGCTCAATGATTTAGTTATAAATATAGATTATTAGTCTTCTCGCTATACATGTAACAAACCCCAACCTCACTACATGAAATTTCTAAAGTTGACTTTTTTCACATTTGTTAAAAAAGGTAAAAATCACATACTTTTCTTCCCTTCCTTCAGATCAAGTTCTGAACTGAAATATTACATGTAACAATAGCTGGTCCTAGCTTCTATACAAAGTTAAACTGCATTGAGCTCCTTTGCCAATATAAGGAGCTACATGATTTCTAATCACACTTGCCTTGAATTTAGGCATGAGAAAAATTTCTCAAAGCAACTCAAAAGGAGCATGTCAAGGAAAAGTAAAGCTGTGAAGGAGAGAAAAAGAAGACTAGCAGATGAAACAATACTCTGAAAAACTCAAATCTGCCATTCAAGTATTAAAAATATCCCACAGGGGACAATGAATGGGATCTACTACAACAAAGTCAGCAAAATGAAATGTAAATCTCAAGCATGAGAAGTGGCCACGATAGACTGTCTGCTGAAAGACAATTCCTTTTGGACCCTAAAGAAGGGGTTCATTTCAAAGTCATAATTTTCTTTTTGCAATTTTCTCTTGGTTGCCTTCAGAGAATAGTTTGCTTTTTTCCTCCACGCTATGTAGGTCACTTCTTTAAACCCCGAAAAGAGCAAGAATTTTCATATATTAAAAGACTTCTTTTAGAAAATGGAAAAAAGAATATGAAGCCATGGCGAAGGTGTTAACGATTACTCTTCATTGCTTCTTTAGCTGCCATGATCAGTGGTGTCAAGCTAGATAATGGTTTGGCCAGTTTCAGGAAGGGATGCTGCCAGAAAGGGGAAAAAAAATGTATAAATATCATTCATCACTTCAGAAACAAAATAATTTATTTCAGTTACGGCCCCAAAACTACTTGTGGATCATCATTTACTTAATAAACTAAACACAGCCAGGCACAGTAGCTCACGTCCGTAGTCCCAGCATTTTGGGAGGCAGAAGCGAGAGGATTGCCTGGGCCTAGGGATTTTAGACCATCCTGGGCAACTTGGCGAGACTTCATCTCTACAAGAAATCAAAAAATTAGGCGTGGTGGCACATGCCTGTAGCTCCAGCCACTTGGAAGGCTGAGGTGGCCTGAACCCAGCAAGTCGTGGCTGTGCTGGCTGTGAGCGTGCCACTGCACTCCAGCCTGAATGACAGGGTGAGACTCAAAATAAATAAGCTAAACACATATTTCAATACTGATATAAAAATCAACATAACCAAAAACCAGTTATTTTAGTTGTGGTAGTATCATAAAATCTAAAGTTAAATAACCCACATATACAATCATGCCAGCAACAGCCAGGTCTAAGAACTGGTAACACACAAAAACTTAACAATATGGTATTATCAGAATTTTACTCAGCAGATAAAACCCTAAAATGCAACAGCTGCCTTACTGCTGGTGATCAATGAATAGTAAAATCTAATTATGAACCCTATGAGAACTTTCTGGTGGCTACCGAAAAAGGTCAACCTTTTTCCAAAAATGAAATCATTTTCAAATTTACCTGTAACAATTCTTTGGCCGAACCCCTTTTTTCCACATCCATTTCCAAACATCGATTTAAGAAATCCCGAAATATTGGGGACAGTTTCTCTGGATTCTGAAGTTCTGGGGTTCCATTAGTTGCTATCAGATACAAGGCCTAAAAAGAGAAGAACATTTTTGGGCACACTTAAGCTAGTTCAACAAAGTGACAAAGTGCTTTATAAAGTTTATGGATTACCACAAATACTAAAGTGGTGTGATTATCAGCTATACCATTTAGATTTGATATTTTTCTTTATTTATTTAATCTCAATTTTTTGGTTGGAGTCTCACTCCGTCGCCCAGGCTGGAGTACAGTGGCATGCCCACGGTCACCCCAGCATCGACCTGCTGGGCTCCAGTGATCCTTCTGCCTCAGCCTTCCAAGTAGCCAGAACTATAGGCATGTGCTACTGTGCCTAGCTAATTTTTGATTATTGTAGAGATGAGGTCTCGTCAAGTTGCCTGGGTTGGTCTTGAATCTGTGGGCTCAGGTAATCCACTTGCCTTGGCCTCCCAAAGTGCTGGGATTATAGGCTGAGCCACCGAACCAGGCCTTTCTTTAAATGCTATATTTCCCTAAGTTCTTTTTCTAAAATTGGCTTCACCATTTTTGTTGTAAATTATAAATGCAATATATATTGCTTTAAAAAACTATAATATTCAAAAGTATAAAGAAAAATAACAACTCCACCACCAGCCATCCTGTTTACTGTTCTCAAGCTTTTTTTCAAGTCATAGATATAATTCAAAACAATAGGACTTGTTTAAACTTTAAAAAAAAAAAAAAAACAGCCGGGAGCAGAGGCTCACATCTGTAATCCCAGTACTTTGGAAGGCCAAGGCAGGAGGATTACTTGAGGCCAAGAGTTCAAGACCAGCCTGGATGACATATTGAGACTCCATCTCTGCAAAAAGTAAAATTAGGTAGGTATGGTAGCACACGCCTAATAAGCCATGACTGTGCCATTGCACTCCAAACTCTAAAAAAAAAAAATCAGCTATATTTCAGCTCATCATTACTAGTAACTAATTATATATATACAATTATTTTATGTATTTTTATTTTTTTGAGTTGGAGTCTCACTGTGTTGTCCAGGCTGGAGTGCAGTGGCATGCTCACAGTCACTGGACCCTTGACCTGCTTGGCTCAGGGTCCTTCCGCTTCAGTCTTTCAAGTAGCTGAGACTACAGGAGTGTGTCATCACACCCAGGTAATTTTTTTGATTTATTGTAGAGATGAAGTCTCACCATGTTGCCCAGGCTGGTCTTGAACCTGTGGGCTAAGGCAATCCTCTCACCTCCGCCTCTCAAAGTGCTGGGATTACAGGAGGGAGACACTGTGCCTGGCCTGATATATAAAAGTATTTTAATGGCTAAAGTAAATACTGCCTTACTACATGAATGGTTTTTATAACTTAATCAACCCTCTCTAGAAAATTCTTATATACTGGCTACTGTTTTTAAATCTCTAGAAGTGGAATAATAATTTTTAATTAACCATTTTTTTTTTTTTTAGAAATTTCAGGTTTAAAAAAATTGGGAAGATAGTATAGAGTTCTCATATATATGACCCCCACAGAGTTTTCCTTACTAATATCTTGCATTATAGTATGGTATACTTGTTACAAATGAACCAAAGTTGATATACTTCTATTAAACTAAAGTTCATAGTTTACATTAAGGTGCACGCCTTGTATTGTATTATGGCATTTTTGGTTTTTTTTAGCATGAGGTCTTGCTATGTTACCCAGACTAGACTTGAACTCCTGAGCTCAAGCATTCCTTCTGCCTCAGCCTCCAGAGTAGCCAGGACTACACATGGTGCTACTACACTTAGCCATTCTATGGATTCTGACAAACACTGTTATGATCCACCATTGTAGTACTATAGAAAATAATTTCACTGCCTAAAAAATTCTTTCATTTATTCATCTTCTCTATACCTCACCCAACCAAAACCTGCAATCATTGACCTTTTTTACGTCATAGTGGGAATCATACAGTATGTAGCCTTTTTTTCTTTTCTTCTTTTTTTTTTTTTAAAGTCAGAGTCTCACTCTGTCGTCCTGGCTGGAGTACAACAGCACACTCAGGGCCACTGCAGTCTCGACCTGCTGGACTCAGGTGATCCTTCCACTTCAGCCTTCCTAGTAGCTAAAACTACAGATGCACAACACTACATTCAGCTAATTTTTTGTTGCTGTTATTATTTATTGTAGAGACAAGGTCTTGCCAAGTTGCCCAAGCTGGTCTCAGGCAATCCTCTTGCCTCAGCCTCTCCAAGTGCTGGGATTACAGACATGAGCCACTGTGCCCAGCAGTATGTAGCCTTTTTAGCCTGGATTCTCACTTAAGAAATACACACTTAAAAGTTTTTCCAAGTCTTTTTCTGCTTTGATAGTTTATTCTTTTTATCAATAAATAATACCCCATTATATGGATGTACCATAGTCTATTCACTTTTTGAAGGATATTTTGGATACTTCCAGTTTGGGGCAATTATAAATAAAATATGCTATACACATCTATGTATTGGTTTTTGTGTGGACACAAGTTTTCAACTCACTTGGTAAATACCTAGAAGCACAACGGAGAGGTCACAGGGTAAGATTATTTCAGTTTCGCAGGGAAGTGCCAAACTGTCTTCCACAGTTGCACATGCCCCACATCCTCACCTGGCCTTTGGTGTCATCAGTTGTTTGAATCTCAGTCATCCTAACAGTGTGTGGTTGACCTAGCAATTCCCTAATTACATGACACTGTGCTCTTTCCTCTTTTCTTAGGCTTATTTGCCACTTGTGCCTCTTTAGTGAAGAGTCTGCTCAGATCTTTTGCCCATTTTAAAATTGGCTCATTTGTGTTCTTACTGAGTTTTAAGAGTTCTTTGTACATTTTAGATACAAGTACTTTATCAGTTAGGTGTTTTGCAGACACCTAGATTTCCCCCAGAATTATTTAAGGTTTCTGCTGTACTGCCAAAATGCCATTAAAAAAAGGATACCGACATATACTTCCTGTCCTTTTATTTTGGATAGTTTGCATTGCTCCATCATATAATCTACCATTAATTCAATCTCAAACACTGTAGTTTCCATGTGTAAATTTAATTTGGGTCTTTGGCTGGGCACAGTGGCTCATGCCTGTAATCCCAGCACTTGGGGAGGCAGATGCAAGAGGATTTCCTGAGCCCAGGGATCTGAGACCAGCCTGGGCAACATGGCGAGATCTCGTCTCTATAGTAAATAAAAAAATTAGTCGGGTGTGGTCGCATGTCTTTGTAGTCCCAGCTACTCAGGAGGCTAGGCAAAAGGATCTCCTGAGTTCAGCAGGTTGAGGTTACGGTGGCCACGAGCGTGCCACTGCACACCAGCCTGGAGACAGAGTGAGACTTTGACTCAAAAATAAATAAATAAATAAATAAACATACGTCTTTCAAATGTCTGTTTAACTGCTTTAAAACCAGAAATGCAGTTGTGAAAATTGTTTAATGACCTTGTATGCTATTTCTTTTATGTGTGTCAGTTTCAACTGATTGGTTTTCCTCATTGAGTCACATTTTCTGCTCCTTTGCCAGCCTGGTAAACTTATAAAAGAAGGAAAGCTTTATTTCTTGGTTCTTTCCTCCTTGGACAGAGTCTTGATTTCTTCTTTCTTGGTCCAAAGGCACTCTTCACAGAATCCTGGTGCTTTCCTGGGTTTAGATCTGTGGGCCTCAGCCTGGTCAACCAGAAGCTTCTTGCAGACCTTGTTTTCAGTTTGTAAACGTGTTCATTAAGAATCTGCTTTTTTTTTTTTTTTTTTGAGTTGGAGTCTCACTCCATCGCCCAGACTGGAGTGCAGTGGCCGCTCCCAGCTACCACAGCCTCGACCTGCTAGGCTCCGGCGATCCTTCCACCTCAGCCTTCCAAGTAGCCGGAACTACAGGCACGCGCTACCACGCCCGGCTGATTTTTTGATTTATTGTAGAGATGAGGTCTCGCCAAGTTGCCCAGGCGGGTCTCGAACCCACCGGCTTAGGCAATCCACTAACTTCAGCCTCCCAAAGTGCTGGGATTACAGGCTAAGCCACCGAGTCCGGATTTTTTTTTTAACAGGGTCTTACTCTGTTGCCCTGGCTGGAGTGCAGTGGCAGGATCACAGCTCACAGTAGTCTCAACTTCCTGGGCTCAGGTGATCCTTCCGCCTCAGCCTCCCAAGTAGCTGAGACTACAGGTACATACCACCATATCCATCTGATTTTTTATAGAGATGAGGTCTTGCTATGCTGTCCAGGCTGGTCTTGAACTACTAGGCTCAAGTGATTCCTCGTCTTGGCTTCCCAAAGTGCTGGGATTACAGGCGTGAGCACCTGTGACCAGCCAGAATCTTCTTGTTTCTGAACATGTTCCCTTTCACCTTCAGGTACAGGCTCTGATATATATGTGGCAGTCAATCTTCTTAGATTCACAGTATCTTCTGAGCAGCTGGTGCAGAACTCTTATCCTCCTCATCCAGATTATCTTTTCTGGTATTTGAGCATGGGTAGTACACTTTCAATTACCCATGCCCATGCCCATATGCCTGTCCTTCCTGTTGGCCAAAGTGTTTTTTTCTGGAGTGAGCCTGGGAATGGATGGTCACAGGCCTGTGGAAGATCAGCCTGTTTTTGATCAGCTTCTGAATCTGCTGACAGAAATTGGCATTGGTGATTTTATTGGTCTCAACGGGGTACGGACCAGGTCATTTTGCCACAGCAAAGGACACCGAAAGCAAGCCTCTTCTGAAACCTAAACACACTCATGGCTGTGGTCGAGGCCTATGAATATTATTGAGCTTTGTTCAGGAATGCAATTAAGTTACTTAGGAATAGATCCCTTTGTTCTTATTTTTTCTCTTATGTAGACTCTTCTTTCAAAATATATCCTGTGTGCTCAGGCAATCTTCTTGCCTTGGCCTCCTAAAATGCTGGAATTACAGGCGTAAGTCACCATGCCCAACCTAGCATAACACTTTCAAGGTTCAATGTTGAAACATCTATCACTTTTTATCCCCTCCACTAATACTAGCCTGGTCTAAGCTACCAGCACTTCTTTCTTGAATGACAACAATAGTCTCCTAACTGGTCTTCCAGCTCTGCCTTTGCCTTCCTTGACTATCTCTTCCCAAGAAAGTAGTCAGAGTAATCCCATTAAAATGTAAACTAGGCACAGTGGTTCTTGCCTGTAACCCCAGCATAGGGAGGCAGAGGTGAGAGGATTGCCTTCACCCAAGGGTTCAAGACCAGCCTGGGAAACTTGGTGAGACCTCGTCTCTACAATAAATCAAGAAAAATTAGCCAGGTGTGGTGACATGTGCCTGTAGTTCCTGCTATTTTGAAGGCTGAGGTGGAAGGATCGCCAGAGCACAGCAGGTCAAGGCTACGGTGGCCATAAGTGTGCCATTGTACTCCAGCCTGGACGACAGAGTCAAACTCTGACTCAAAAAAAAAAAAAAAAGAAAAGAAAAAAAAGAAAGAAAAACCAACCAATTTATTCCTCTGCTCAAAACTCTCTAATGTTTTCCTCATTTTACCTCAAGTAAAAGCCAGAATCCTTCCTACAGCCTTAGAAGGCATTCACAGTCTGTCCTTGTTTCTTCACGGATGTACCTTATCTCTTGCTATTTGCTCAATACACCCTATCTATGCTGAAATCCTCAATGATCTTTTTTGTGTGTGTCCTTTATTTTATTGACTAAATCTGGCAACCCTGTATCCAAAGATATCACTTTTGAAAAAACATCCAAATGTACCAAATGCCATGTGTGGCGAGTAGGTAGGCCAGAGTCATAAGGGTAAAAGGACTCACCAAGATAGTTATAAATTAAGAAACATAGATTTATTAAAGGGAAGATATGCTGGAAGGGCGCAACAGGTAGGACAGCGGCAGGAGTATCTGCTATCTGCCCTCAATGATCTCTTAATATACCAGGAGCACTCCTGCCTCAGGACTTTTGTGTGGCTAGGAATGCTCTTCCCCCAGGGAAGGATCTCACTCTTACCTCCTCTGCCTAAATGTCACCACAGTGAAGCCCTCCTCAAGCACCCTTTTAAAGTAAACACTCTGACCCCCTCCCTGCTAGTCCCAGCATTTAGAGCACGTTATTTACCACATTAAAAACTATTCTACTTTATTTGGTTTGTCTCTCCCCTCCCAGTAGAATCTAAGTTCTGTGATGGCAGGGATTTTTGTTGGTTCCTTTAGACAGCACCTTGACGTGCTTGGCAGGTACCCAAATCAACAGCAGCTAAGGGAATGAATAAAATTAGAAGTTTAAAAAATTGTTCTGGGTTCAGCCCATAATCCCAGCACTTTGGGAAGCCAAGGCAAGTTAATTGCCTGAGCACATGGGTTTGAGATCAACCCAAGCAAATTGGTGAGATCTTATCTCTACAATGAATTTTTTTAAAAAATTAGCTGGGCGTGGTAGTGTGCGCCTGTAGTTCCAGCTACTTGGAGGGCAGGGGCAGAAGGAATGCCTGAGCCCAGCAGGTCGATGCTGGGGTGGCCGTGAGCGTGCCACTGCACTTCAGCCTGGGTGACAGAGAGAGACTCCAACACCAAAAAAAAAAAAAAATTGTTCTGAAAAGCAGTCTAAATTAATCAACCTCTGTAAAAGTATTTTAACTGCTCACTTAAACTGGAATCTTTGGCAACGGGATGAAAAATGTTCAGGAAAAGAGTACCAAAATCCAATGCCACCTTTTGTTTGGCTTCTTTCACTTAGCAGAACAGTTTCTTTTTTTTTTCAGTCACAGTCTCACTCTGTCACCCGGGCTGGAGTGTAGTGGCATGCTGACAGCCACCTTGATCTGTTGGGCTCAGGTGATCCTTCTGCCACAGCATTCCACATAGCTGGAACCACAGGCACATGCCACCATGCCTGGCTAATTTTTTGATTTATTGTAGAGACGAGGTCTTGCCAAGTTGCCCAGGCTAGTCTTGAACCTGTGGACTCAGGCAATCCTCCCCTCTTGGTCTCCCGTGCTGGGATTACAGGCATAAGCCACTGCGCCCAGTCTAGCATAACACTTTCATGGTTCAGTGTTGTAACATATACCAGTACTTACTTCCTTTCTATGGCCAAGCAATATTCCACTGCTTATTAGGTGACAGACATCTGGGTTGTTTCCACTTTTTAGCTCTTATGAATAATGCTGCTAGGAACAGTCATATGTAAGTTTTTGTGTGGTCATATACTTTTAATTCTCTTGGATACGTACCTAGCAGAAGAACTGGTAGGTACGTATCCAAGAAATATGGTAACTCAGTATTAACTTTTAGTGGAATTGTCAAATTATTTTCCATAGCAGCTGCACCATTTTACATTCCCACCAGCCATATGAGGAGGGTTCCAATTTGTTCATCTTCTCACTAACACCTACTGTCTTTTTGATTACAGTCATTCCAGTAGGTGTGAAATGTTACCAAGTTGTGGTTTTGAGTGTGTATTTCCTTAAGAACTAATGATGTTAAGACATATATGGTAATTTAAAAGAAAAAGAAAAAAGATTTACAGAGATAGAACATGTGATAAACTTTATATGCAAAGTAACAAAGCCATACAGCTTACTACTAAAAATCTACTAACTCTAGCATGTTAATTCCATAACTCACAGGATATATTATTTTTAGTTGCGGAGTAAGGGCAAAGACTTTTACCCCAAATTCTTGGCCAGTGCCTGGCACAAACAAGTTCCAAGTAAGTGTTTTAAAGAAAAACATCTGTCTTACAATAAGGTTAGTATTTAATTGATCTTACCCTCAAGGGATTTTCATTGAGGTATGGAGGCTCTCCTTCTACCATCTCAATAGCCATGATACCCAGAGACCATATGTCAACTTTAGGGCCATAAGCCTTCCGTGTGACCACCTCTGGTGCCATCCAGTATGGTGTGCCAACCATGGTACTACGTTTGCTCTGCTCAGGGGTGATCTGGGCACAGAAACCAAAGTCAGCTATAAAACAAAACAAAACATTGAGAGTTAATGGTTTCCATGGATGGCTTTAGCTAAAGAGTTCACTTCAGATGACAGAATTAATTAAATTTTAACTCTCTTCAGCCTCTTGATTTTTAAGATTTTATTAACAAAGTAAAACAGAATGAGTTTAAAATATTGCAATGTTACATGCTCTCACTTTTTACTTTTAAATTCCCACAAGCAGAGTAAAAATTATCAGAGGGCCTTTTACTCTGAACGATTAAGTCTAGCCTTAAAAATTTAATAAAAGTGAAAAAGGTCTGAAAGAAAATAAAAGGTGAACATCAAAACAATATGCAGCAAACCAGGCAAAGGTTCATAAAAACTACTTTCAGTAAATTAAACACAAGTTAGAATTACTAAGCATCCAACTTAGCAGAGAGCCTCAATAATCGATAAGGCCCTCACCAGCATTAATCTATTCAATCATCTCATTTTTATAGCTGAGGAGCAGAATGCCTAGTTTAGTATCCAATGTTACTTTAGCGGGGAAGTCAGGATCAGGGTTTAGACTTTCTTCCTTCCACTGTTAACCCATTCTACTCCATGTGTAACCACTGTTAAATTAACATTTAGGCCAGGTGCAGTGGCTCACGCCTGTAATCTCAGCACTGTGGAAGGCAGAGGCAAGAGGACTGCCTGAGCACATGGGTTGGAGACCAGTCTGGGCAAACTGGCAAGACCTTGTTTCTACAATAAATCAAAAAATTAGCCGGATGTGGTGGCACACACCCATGGTTCCAGTTACTTGGAAGACTAAGGCAGAAGGATCGCCTAAGCCCAGCAGGTCGAAATTTTGGTGGCTGTGAGCGTGCCACTGTACTCCAGCCTGGGTGACAGAGTGAGGCTCTGACTCAAAAAAATAAAAATAACATTTAGCCCTTCTGTTATGCATTTGCATATGCATGAATAGTATCTAGGAAATGCTTGATTTACTTTATCCAATTAGGATATTCTTAAAATTTAATTTATTTTGGGGGGGGTCTTTCCATAGTAACACATTTATCTGCCTCATTTTTTTTTTTTCTGAGTTGGAGTCACCCAGGCTAGGGTGCAGTGGCACACTCACGGCCATCCCAGAGGCAACCTCTGCTGGGCTCCGGCGATCCTTCCACCTCAGCCTTTCAAGTAGACAAGTAGATGGAACAACAGGCACATACTACCATGCCCGGCTAATTTTTTGAATTATTGTAGAGATGAGGTCTCGTCAAGTTGCCCAGGCTGTTCTTGAACCTGTGGGCTCAGACAATCCCCTCACCTTGGCCTCCTAAAGTGCTGGGATTACAGGCTTGAGCCACCATGCCCGGCCTGTCTCATTTTTAAAAGCACAGAATATTATAGGATATAAAAATACCATAATTTACTTAATTATTCCCTTATTGCTCAACATTTAAGATAGTTTTTCCTTACAATGCTCCCGAGAACACCCTTGTACTTACTGTGGTATATAAATTCGTAATTCTACAGGAGAGAATCCTAAAAGAGTAATTGTTATTAGTTTTCATAGCTAAAATTCATGCTTGTAACAAGCCAGGTACTGGTCAAGTGCCTTGTAAGAACTGAAATATCGAATCCTCATGATAACCCTATGAGATAGGTACATTTATTACTATAATTATTCCTATTTTATAAATGGGGAAACTGAGACATATACATATAAATAACTTAGAAGATAACTTATCCAAGGTCATTCATCTAGTAAGTGTCAAAGTCAGAAAAAAAAGTTATCCAGAAAAGTCTAATTCTGTTTACATATGTAGTCACCAAAAAGAAGGAATAAGAACTTGCCTACTAAGACTACATAAACATGAGCTATCTTGTCTGGGTATGGTGGCTCATACCTATAATCCCAGCACTTTGGGAGGCCAAGAAGGGAGGACTGCTTGAGTCTAGGACTTCAAGATCAGGCTGGGCAAAAAATATCTCCACAAAAAATAAAATATTAGCCAGGCGTGCTGGTACGCATCAATAGCCCCAGCTATAGTCCTCAGCTTGCTGAGGCAAAAGGATCACCTGAGTCCAGGAAGTCAAAGACGCAGTGAGCCATGGGTGTGCCACTGTACTCTAGCCTGGTAGACAGAGTGAGACCTCGACTCAAGCAATAAAAAAAATAAAAAATAAAAAAGAGCCCAATCCTACAGCAGAACAGAAGATGACAGTTTTTGGTTTCTTGATCCAACAAATGCTTTGAAGGTTGCAGAAAAAACCTCAGTAGGGGATTTCTTTTCCTTGTCATCTCTAAGGTCAGAGTCATAGACCCCTCTGCTGATTAGGCCACGCTCTATAAAACTCAAAGGCTGAACAGGATGATGAGAAAAACTACTACAACAGATGGCAGAAACAAATTCAAGTTTACCTCTGTAAGACAGCAACAACATTGCAATACTCCTGTGACTGTCGCTAAGAACTTTATATTTTTTTATCCTCCGAAGAATTCTCTGAGATAAGTACTATTAGTTTATTATTTATTTATTTTTTGAGCCTGTCGCCCAGGCTGGAGTGCAGCAGTATGATCATGGCTCACTGTAGCCTTGAGCTCCTGGACTCAAGCGATCCTTCCACTTCAGCCTCCTGTGTAGTTGTGACCACAGGTACATGCCACCATACTAGACAAATTTTTAATCAATTAATTAATATTTTATTTAGTTTTTTTGTTATAAATATGTGGGGGAGAAGTGAGGATTTACTATATAAGGAGGCTACATGCAGGTGAAGTTTGGGCTTCTAGGTGATCTTCACTTCCCCTGGTAGTGGACCAAGTACACTTTGTGTTATCTGGCCAAGTTTTTTATTTGATTTTTTTTTTTTTTTGAGTTGGAGTCTCACTCTGTCACCCAGACTGGAGTGCAGTGGCCGCTCCCGGCCACCGCAGCCTCGACCTGCTGGGCTCCGGCAATCCTTCCACCTCAGCCTTCCAAGTAGCTGGAACTACAGGTGCGCGCTACCACACCCAGCTAATTTTTGATTGATTGTAGAGATGAGGTCTTGCTGCCCAGGCGGGTCTCGAACTCGTGGGCTCAGGCAATCCACTCACCTCAGCCTCCCAAAGGCACGGAATTACAGACTGAGCCACCTAGCCCGGCTTGATTTTTTTTTTTAATAGAAAAGAGATCTTGCTATTTTGCCCAGGACAGGTCTCAAACTCCTGGGCTTGAGCAATTCAAAAGTACTGGGATTACAGGTATAGGCCATCACATCTAACTATTTTCCTCATTGAACAAATGAGAAAAGAAACAGAGATTAAGTAACTTGCCCAAAATTATTTAGCCAAATAGTAATAGCAGATCTGCTATTTAAATCCAGACTGTCCAGTTAAGAGTCCATATTCTTTAGCACTAGATTCCCATCCTTCCATATATCAAAATCGTAAAAATATTAATATCAGAAGGGTATTTTTCCTTTTGAGCGGAGACTTGCTCTGTCACCCAGGCTAAAGTGCAGTGGTAAAACCTGACTTACTGCAACACTGACCTGCTGGGCTCAGGCTATCTTCCTGCCTCAGTCCCCTGAATAGCTGGGGCTACAGGTACACACAACCACACCTAGCTAATTTTTTTTTTTTTTTTTGTAGAGGCGAGGTCTTGTTATGCTGCCCAGGTAGGTCTCAAACTCCTGGGCTCAAGCAATCCTCCTGCCTCAGTCTCCCAAAGTGCTAAGATTACAGGCATGAACCACCACACCTAACCAGAAGAGTTTTTAATTAAATAAAAGGCAGAAAACTATAATAAATAACAAGTAAGTATTATTTGTTCATTTGTTACTCACTAAGTTTAACTGATCCTTCCATCCCCAAAAGCACATTGTCACTTTTGATGTCTCTGTGGATCACTTGATTAGCATGTAAAAACTCCAATGCCTGTAAACACTGAACAGAAGAAAAACACCGATTCATGAAACAGCCCCTGAAAAGTCAAAGGGAGGTTCATATAGTAGTTATGGCCTGAGCACTGCTTCTAGTAGCCAGCAGAAAACCCCCCAGTACTTATATTTATAAAGAAAAAATATCTTCTCTTACATGCAAAGTTATGAAAACAAGATGCCTTAATTAATTACATCCTCTCCCCAGTCTGCCTTACCTAGAGACATTTTCTATGAACCTAACATTATGAACATAGAGAGACATTATTAAATAATGTCTTATCTAGTTAGCCCTTTCTCTGTCTTTGATTAGTTAAAACCCTGAGAATGTCACTCAGTTTTCAATGGTATCACCAATGATGGGCGGGTCTATATAATTTCTATGCTTTTCCAGTTTTAAATGCCTAAAGGTGCTCAGTGCTTGGCAAACACGCACAGGTTCTTCCAACAGTGATGCTATAAACTTGTGATCACTTCTACTTCATTCTGAGATCCTCAGAAGTCTAATCAATGTGAGCTACTGAGAAGTGGGTAAGATTCTGGGCAGCCGAAGTTCATTCAGCTTTTCATCAATGTGGTGTAAAAAGTCTTCTTCATTTCTTCTATAGTGGATTTTATATTAAGCAATGCCAATAACCTGGACATGAATGATGAAAGAGTAACTTTCCTCTTATGCCCCACTTCAGAAACCAGAGTCAAAAAGTAAGGTTAAACTCCTCCCTTTCTTAAATGTAAGAATGAGAAAAGATTTTAAAAATCTGCTTGCCCTAGTGTTTTAAAATATAAACTGAGAGTATAAGTTGTACATGTGAAAATAAGTTAGGTGTGCTTTTATTTTTTACTCCCATGAGAGAGGAATACTTACTACCTAACTAAAAATCTCTTTCAAAATCTTCTATTGTTCATTCAAGGAAAAAGAGATAAATGGGGTATTACCACAATACATTTGCCAGGCATTAATCAGATTCTTGAAAAGAACGAAGTCCGAAAATCATTTGTACAAAACAGAAACAAATTTGTCACAATTTAAACATTTTGGCACATGGAAGAAAATCCAAGTGAATGACAATTAAAAGAACTCCCAAGATTAATTTTTATATCAATTATGAAAAAGTACACTAGAAAATCAAATTAAGTTTAAATAGATACATTCTTATTTTTATCAGCTTTTAAGTGACCAAAGATATTTTGTTAAGGGATATCATATTCTATTAAAGAGCTCTTATTTCTACCCTTTAGGTAGAACGCAGTTAACACAATTAACTCAGAATTAAAGTTTGTAAACATTATTTTTTTTAACATCTTAATGAAAGCTGGAAAAGGAAAATATCATGTTTAGCACTTGAACATGAACAAAGTTTATAATTCACTTTTGTATCACTGAAGAATTGTTGAAAGCAAAATAACAGAAAAAACAAGCCGGGCTCGGTGGCTCAGCCTGTAATCCCAGCGCTTTGGGAGGCTAAGGTGAGTGAATTGCCTGAGCCCGCGGGTTCGAGACCCGACTGGGCAACTTGGCGAGACCTCATCTTTACAATAAATCAAAAAATTAGCCGGGCGAGGTAGAACGCGCCTGTAGTTCCAGCTACTCAGAAGGCTGAGGCAGAAGGATCGCCGGAGCCCAGCAGGTCGAGGCTGCGGTGGCCGGGAGCGGCCACTGCACTCCAGTCTGGGCGACAGAGTGAGACTCCGACTG